GCCTTGTTCTAACCGACTCAACTTACCCGCCTTACCAATGTTTCCAACAGTGCCTTTCAGAGTGGCGGGGTACAAGATCCCTGTACCTTTCTTGCAGGGCGTAGTTTATGCTTCCCGACGATTTATCCCTTCCGTTTGCTGTTCGATCCCAAGAAAGAAGATCTATCATTTTCTACCACTATCTGGTCAGCTTGATCTGGATGTACTTTCGCTGCTGGTTTTGTTGTTTAGTATCTGTTCTTTATTATATCCAGGTTTTTGGCAACTTATCGTGTGCCTTAGGGTTCTAGTCTCACCGACTGACTGTTTTTTCCTTTTTGCCTCATAATTCATATGACAGATTGTATATATTTGTTTAATGAAATTGATCTATATACATCCGTGAGCCCTTTTAGAAATTTTGGTCATCATTGGGAGCGAATCATTTTTCGACGACATATGTCGAACGCTGATGGAAAGCTACGTTACGCTTTGCACCCGACTTCGATCTCCAGCACAGTTTTTTCGACATGGTCATAAAAATTCTGCCAGTAATCAGTCTTAAACGTTTTCAGCAGTTGTTCTATGCAACAGCATCGCCGCCAACTGTGTTGAACATATCTAAAGCAGTTGATAAAAGTGTGCCATGATTGTGGGCATCTCCATCGTTTCGTCTGATACTCTTCAAGAGATTCGATCAGTGACTCTGACTTATTCTTGTATTTTGCAAAGCTTTGTAATGCTTTATAGAAGTGCTTGTAAAATGTGTAGCACGATTGTTCGTCTTTTTCAGCCGTCAACCTTTATTCAGAAAATAGACAGCAAACCCTCTTATGGAAACTGATATGGATGGTCACATGCCTGGTTCTTCCATCTGGATATTCTGCCTACATATATTTACATTCAGTATAGAAGTGGTAGGCGGAACCCCAGTTATTACTCCCACGTTGGCCTCTTTTAGATTCATAGCAGGTGTTCAGTTAAGAAAATTAATTCCTTTATTTTGCGCAGCGTGCGATGAATGTTTTTTGCCCGTCTTCGGCTGCTTTGAACTTGAGGTTTGGTTTGTGGCAAAGAAAGATGGAACAGCAAGCGGGTAAAAATGGCGTTTACGTGTTAAAATTTGCGTTCATGAAATTTCGGTATATCGTGTCAGTTCTCCATTGGCATCAAAAATTCACTTTAACATTTTTCTTCTTTCTAAGTTTGCGCGTTCTCCATAAAATCCACCTTTTTATCTTAAATAGTATGTTTTTGGGCTTTAGCAGTAAATTAAATATCCGCTAATTATAAAAGTAACTATTCGTAGATGATAATAATTCGCAGAGATAGTCAGATATCTGCAGTTTGGTACCATATGATTGAAAATTATAGCGAAATTCCAGTGGTAGGTTGTTTATATTGGTAGGGAATGAAATCAGTTGCATAACTGAATAACGGTTAACAGGGACGATGTAGAATCCTTTACTCCGATGCGGCACATACGCGTCGTGGATATACAAAGGTAAGAGCACGAAAATTTGGGTAATGATCAGGTAACACTACAGTGACCACATCCTTTGTTACATTGACCATTAATACTTGCAAATAAATTGGATGGCATTTCTCCGATATCTGTTGACTCTTTGCCAACAGAAGCGATGTTCTGAGACTAGGGGGCCTCAGGTAGAAAGCATGGAAATAAGCCGAATTTTGTTCTGCTCAATTTTCAGAAGCGTTAGAGCTATATCTGATCTCCATATAGTTCTCAATGACATGACGTCAGTCACTGCGCTCAATTTGAACATGATAAACGTCGATCATCTCTCGTTCTCTCCTCCGGATCAGAAAGTTTCCGGCAAATGTTTCCAATGAACTGCCAATTTTGTAGTAAATTCGAAAACCTTTCTTCGGTGCTGTTTAACTTCGATAAAAAATTTCGGGGTGTGTGGAAGTTATTTCTTTTTAAATTTCTTTTCTGCGAAAAAACTGCTGCAAATAAAGCATAGCAGATGTTGGATTTTCCTGCTTGGAAATTGTTTTATTGCTTGAAATAGACAGTTGCGTATTCGAACCATTCTACTATCTCGTAAGAATACACCGTACGATATTTTCTTGTGCAAGTCATCAGTTACCAACATTCTAAACAATAACATTCGCTTTTCAATTTAGTTTCTTTAGGCTTTGTTTTCTCATAATGTTTTGAAAATCAAACAGATATGCATTCAGATCGAAGTACAGCGATGGTCATCGCCAGGTTTCATAAACCAAAAAGCGGTACAATATTTTTGTGCAAAATATATAAGATCAATAAAAATAGAAGTATGAAATTAAAAGTAGAAAAAAAGCTTTTCAAGACGTTCGCATTCGATTGCTCAGGTTTTCAGCGGCACATCTGAGAAGCAAATACGCATTTTCATTGGTGATTCGTTCAGAAAGAAACAACGTCAAATTTGTTATTATGGTTGAGGTCAGTTCGGCGACCTCTAAAGAGTTAGACAAGTTCACAACTTCCATAATAGAAACGAGCAGATCAGACACCTGAGGTAAAAACGCTTCGCAGTGAAGCAAAGAAGAAAACGCAAAGTTGCACAGTGTCCACAATGTCTCGCTTCGCAATGGGACGAACTTCGAGCCGAGCAGTTTGGAAGTGATCTGGGCGAACATCACAGCTAGGGTACTTGGCCACTCAGTTCTTCTCGCAAAAGCGATAGATATGCTTCGAACAACCGGAATCACAACCCTGACAGGCAAAGGATCGCAATGCAGCGCTTGGTCGAGCTTCATAATTAGCTTCAGTGAGCGATCAGCGTCCCGTGGCATGGTTTCCCAATAGGCAAGACGAAACAAGATGATGGAAGACAAGTGACACAGGTCGCTGGATGGCGATGCGCGATCGAATACATCGTAAAGTCGGGACATTAGGGCTCGATCAGCGGCCAGCTGTTCGTTCAGATCATCGATCTGTTTTTGGACAAGAGCTTGAAAAGCAAAGAGGACAGATTCTTTCAGAAAGTCATCGTCGCGATCCAGAAACTTCGACATGGCTACGAAGATGCCTTGCTTCCACAAAATTCTAACGCAGTTTGCATCCACGTCCATGCACAGGTTACCGGCAGCTGTCAGAAGCCTCCACTCCAAAGCGGGCACTTTCGAACTCATCAAAACTCCGAGGTAAGGCGAGAACGCTTTGCATAACAACAAGCAGCAGTTCGAGTCGGCAAGCGTCATCGAAACCAAACACTCAGCCACCTTCAGCTGCACCCTCGGCTCCGTCATCGGCGTTGTCAACAATCCTACCAGGCAGTGCATCGAACCGTCGACGGCCAGAAATTTCGACACTGCTTTTGTAGGACATTTGTCAAACGCCTCCTTAACGATGCACAGCGCTTTGTAGCATCCGTCGCCGTACTTCTGGCGCAAACACTTTACATACTTATGCCAGTCGACAGAATCCGTCAGGAACGGTGATTCTGCGTCACCGAAAACCTCACGTTTCCTGAGGTATGCATCGCGCTGCGTCTCCTGAAGACGACGAAGAAACGACTCAACTCTTTCACTGCTCATCTTCGTTGCAACTAAACACAGAAAACGACGACTTTAACAATAAATTTATATTGCATATATACTAGTGTATAAGTCAGAATTTCAAAATTTTGTCTAAAAAATTAAAATTACGGATATCTTAAAACGAGAACCGGGCATTTCACGCAAAGAAATCGAATTGACCCATCACCTATCTCAGATTTTTTATGGATTTATTAGGATATTCAAGTCAAGTTCATTAGCTTATGCAAGCGTTGTTGCTATCAGCAAAATTGCGTCCATTACTCTAGGATTATACAAGAACATTAAATACATATATACAGAAAGTAGTTAGGCAAGCCAAGTGTTATGAACAAATATTTCGAATTTATAATTTTATTTTATACACGTTAATTTCCCATTTAAAAGCAGTTGCTACCAGTGTTAAATCAATTTAAATTAATATGCATGATATTCCAAATATAATACCAAAAGTTAGTTTTCTATGCTGCCGGGTTAGAGCAACATGTTTACTCGGGAATTGTGTGACCACGTTGCGCAAGGTGCATAAGTAGAACGTGTCCGGTTGGTGATGTCCGTTTTATTTTACGTTTTGCAACACTTCTGCTACAAGACACCGTGGTTACTGCAGAGTAGAAGGAACAACCTCTCTCTGAAAGCAGATCTACCCCTAGCTTGTTCCACCATGTTGAATGCTGGCCTAATGGTCAAAGTCTGCGAGTTTTTGCTCCAAAACAGAAAGCTCAAAAGCTGGAGAAAATGAAATATGCTCATTCAGCTTGTCTAACAATACCAACTTCATCTCTTAATCTCCATAGCTACTGAGGTCGCGAGCGAACAGAATAATTCCTTACATGGTCCAGTCATTTCACCCTCATTACGCATCGACACCAGTATTGGTTTACGCAGTTCAACCACAGTTCTTGAGTCCGTGTTAGAATAACTGCTACGCTGCCATACAATAACACTGCCAGGCCAAGGCAAGGTGCAAGCAGATTTATCTGGGCAAAGACTACTTTCTTAGTGCAACAGCAATTGACAGATTTTCAAAAGCACTTAGGGCGATCTTCCTATTTAACAAAGAACTATAATTTGTATTCGCAACAGAGATGCTATTAATACTGCCCTAACCGCGAATTACCTTGAACAATAAATTAACCCGAAGTTGCTTCAGCCCAACCAGCCGAAAAATGGGTAGTAAACTGGTGACTTACGAATAAGAGCGAAGATGTGCAA